GTCTTGAGGTGAGTAATAGATGTAAATGTTGTTCTGAGGGTTTGAAACCCCGGACTTTCACATAGTAATGCTATATGGAGGCGTGACACGCACTCCATGATGAGTGCGGGGTCGGATACTATTGGGGATTGTGACTTGGTCCATCCCGTGTGATGTTTATACTATACTGGTGATTGATACACATACTTCATTGATATTACTGGGTTGATGCCATGTTTGGGGCCTTGTGCCGATTTGTAAAATCCTTCGAGGATTGATATTACTGCTTAGCATGATTTGCATATCATTTAATTTCAGTCCAAGGTTTTAAATGCTGTTTTGCAAACTCAGCCATAATTCTAAGTGTTGAAAACTTAAATGATATTTTTAAATGTATTCCGGGCTGGGAACTTCTGTTTTGTAAATGCCCAAGGGGCTTATTATATTATTTTCTGGACTGATTATAAAGTGACTTGAAACAGTGGTAACAATGACACTGTGTGATATACTTGAAATAGTGGTAACAATGACACTGGATGATATACTTGAACAGTGGTAACAATGGCACTGTATGATATAAATTGGTCAGGTAACAATGGCTGACCGGTCAGGTAACAATGACTGACCAAGATATTGCGCTTGGGCTGTAGGAGCCCCTCCGGAGTCTGTACACACCCCCAGTGAGCGCCGTCGACGATAAATAAATATGGATGGCTCGGGCTGCACGCCGCAGTGGGTACTGGAATGTACCATCATATGCATTGCATTGCATTCATGTATTTGTATTTATACTGGTGTTTAGCTGCTCAGTTCCATATGTTGCTGTATATTTGGATTTTAGCTTACTTTGTGTATTTACTGGATTTTCTTATCTTTGGGCTGTAGTTACTTTTATTACTCACTGGGTCAGAGTACTCACTTTACTCTCTGCACCTTGTGTGCAGATCCAGGGCAGTCTCAGGCTCAGTAGATCCAGTTGATCAACAGATCCAGCTTCTGGGAGTATCGAGGTAGCTGAACGACGTTCACAACCATTGATCTTCTCCCTCCTATCCTATCTCTTTATTTTCGCATTATCAGACTTTGGATATACCATGTATTAGGATGATATTCTGTATTCTAGAGGCTCAAATTCGTGACACCGGGTCCTAGTGAGATTATATTTTGTATTTGTTAAATTCTTCAGTACTTTAATCTTGCTTAATTGATATTTCTTTCCGCTATTTTTGATAAATTGGGTTAAGTGTTGAATAATGGTCGGGCTTGCCTAGTAGTGTGTTGGGCTCCATCACGACCGGGATTTGGGTCGTGACAGAGGGGGGCACTAAGCTCCCGCTTTATGCGAGGTCCGGGGAAGGGTCGGACCACAAGGGTCTATTGTATGCAGTCTTATCCTGCATTTCTACAAGACCTCTTGAATTACATCGCAACAACTTTAATTTTGAGACTATACATTTCTGCATTTCCACGGCTCGAACCCATGACCTCCCGAATCACATGGCAACAACTTTAATTTTGAGACTATGCATTTCCACGGTTCGAACCCATGACCTCCTGAATCACATGGCAACAACTTTACCAGCTCCCTTCCTGTATTCTCTCAATTTAAATACAGAAATTAAAACAGAAAGGGCAAAGGTCCCTCTTTTTCCCTATATTAGAAAAGGAAAGTTTCTATGAAAGACATTACTTGGGGACGTCAAAAAGTATGATAATACAAGAACCTTCCTAAAAGAAGAAAATAATAAGTAGCAAAATAATGGTGTTTCCCCTCACAAGTCAAAAGAGGAGTACCAAATGAGTCCTAAAGAAGAAAATAATTAGCAGCAAAATAAGGGTGTTTCACCGCACAAGGAAGAACCTGTCATGCAGCTTCTAAAGTCAAAAGAGAAATGAGGTTTAGCTCTGAACCACAATAATTTTGATACTGTAAGAAAAAAGGGAAAAGAAAATACAAATATGTCATCGAACAAGATTGATTGAGCCTCACATAGAATTTTCTCTTCCTTCTCTCTAGGAAGAAGGGTGAATAGTAAATCCGTTACTATTCATCGGTCATAACTTCGGAATCCAGCAGTGGATTTTCGCAAACTTGATATCAAAAGATTTNTCTTCCTTCTCTCTAGGAAGAAGGGTGAATAGTAAATCCGTTACTATTCATCGGCCATAACTTCGGAATCTAGCAGTGGATTTTTGCAAACTTGATATCAAAAGATTCATTTTCTCTTTGCGCACAATCCCCAATTGGTTTCACCCTCAAATCCATAGCCAATTGTTTCAGATCTACAAATTGGTTCGTCCATTACTGTAGCAAAACAGTGTATCTGGGCAGCTTCTTCTTTTCTGTGCGATGTAGTGTTGAAACTTGTGCGTAATAGAGCCTTTCCATGGCAGCCAACGTCTCTCCCCAGCCTTTGGCTGTGGGAGAGCAGAATCCAAACTCAAATGAAGTTACTCCAAACATCAATAACTTTGTTACATATGCAGCAAGTTTGAATCAAAATCAATCTGCCACATCTCTCACAAAAACGAGTTTGAAACCTTTTGAAATTGTTCATGGAGTTCCTACCATTCAATTTTCCATGGATGAACGTGAAGAATTTGCAAAGGAGGAAGGATTACATCAAGCAGTGATGATAAAACTGTCCAGCGACGCACCAAATTTACAGATTTTAAGGAGTATTATGCCGAAAATCTTTGGTATAAAAGGTAATTGCTTGTTCAGTTCTTTGGCTCCACGACAAATTTTAATTCGTCGTGATCAACATGAAGATTATGTTGCTTGTTTGGCAAGAGCTGTAAAGTATTTTCAACATAATGGAAGGGAGCATCAATATAGAGTTTTCCCTTGGAGTGTTGGATATAATCCAAATNGTTGGATATAATCCAAACCAGGAAACTTCGAAGGTGGCTATTTGGATTTCTTTGCCGAATTTGTCGCCTGAACTGTTTGCTCGTAAGCCTTTATTGTCCATTGCGGCTGCTATTGGAAAACCAATCGCAATTGATAAGGCAACACAAGTTAGATCTCGTCCTAGCACGGCAAGAGTCAAGGTTATCATTGATTTACTTGACAAACTTCCTGAAAAGATTAGGCTTCAATATCTTGATGTTAAACTGGTAATNTTGATGTTAAAACTGGTAAGATTGTTGAGGATTACCAGGAAATTATCTATGATAATTTGCCTTCGTATTGTGGCCATTGTAAGCATCAAGGACACGAAGAAAATCAATGTCGGCGCTTAAAAGGAAAGGCAGTTCAAGCAGCTCGTGTTTGTGATGAGAATGAGCATCAAATAGTTGAAAAATTGCAGGGTGATGCAAGAGATTTTTTGAATGCTAAGAGAGCTGGGCAACAACTTATAGAAGGATCAAAAAATGATAAGAATGCTAGGCAGCAAGTGTGTGATGATTTGAGTAAAAGAGAAGATGCAACAGGGGTTAGAGGTGTTGTGCAAGTAAAAAAAAAAACTGATGTTAATATCCCTGATGGTGCACAGATTCTCAGCAATTCTGGGATCTCAAAGAGTGTCGCTATTGTTCATGTCGATCGTGCCTTAGCTAGGAATCGAGGGAATGGCAGTAGTATAGGGACAGTAGCGGGAGGTGATCGACCTATTAATGGTATAGGTGAACAAATTGATAATGCAGCAGGATACAAAGCTATTATTGTGAATGAGGAGGGCCAGGAACATGTAAGTACTAAGGCCTTGGAGTGTGCTGATGCTACAGTCTGTAAGGCTGTGAATATGGAAAATTCAGCTGCAGGTGTAGCAAGGGCGGGACATAGTGGTGTAGGTGCACATTCGAAGTCTACTAATGCATTGAAAACAACTGTTGATCATGTTGTTGCACTGGTTGAACCAGTTGAGAAATCAGCAGCAGCAGGTACAACTCCTGTAGATGTATCTACTGCTGTTTTAGTTCCAGCTGAAATTGTTTCAACACCTACTGATGTTGAAAAAGATTCAAAGGAAGCTGGGTAGCAAATTAGTAAGAATAACTGGACAACGGTTTCCAGCAAAAAAAGCACTCCAAATAGAAAAAAAATGATGCAGGTTGAGCAGCGACAAAATGCTATAAATAGCAGCGTAGCAGAAGTGTCAAAGGGCGAGCTTGTACCAAGGGCCAGCACTCCTATNGCACTCCTACGATTCTTTTTTCCAGTTCACAAGTGGAAAACATTATCAAACAGGCCCAGGCAGAAATGGTAATGAACACCACCTTGGTTAAACAACCAATGGTGACTTTGAACACATCCGTGTTTGATGTCCCTTCTCAGTCAGTAGAGTCTTTTGGGGAGTTCAAAGGTGAATCTGGGCAGCTTGTCCTGTCAACTGGGAACAACAATGAGGTTATCCAACAAAAGGTGAAGGAAATGGCTACCAATTCTAAGTTGTGGCGTGAACAACGAGAGGAGGATGATGAAGATGATTGGGGTGATGGGTTTGATGGCTATTCATTTGAAGAAGGTGAGCAGGAGGTTGATCAGGAGAGTGCAGGTGAGGAGATCGATCCTCCAGTAAAGCCAAAGCCTCATGAGGCAACAACATCAAGTCCCACGACCAAATTGAACATTCATACTCCTATTTTCATACCCAGAAACTCTCCTACTCTCCTACTGCTGCTATGCCTGATGCAGCAGCTGGAAGGTTGGTTAGCGCTGCGGAAACATGTGCCAAGCAGGCCACTCCAGGTGTTAATACAAGTCAAATTGTGATTACACCAACACTTAAAATGCAGCAGCAACAAAATGATCTGCAAGCCTCAACTAGTATGCATACTGGTGATCGCACAGCAGCAACAAAACCAAATTCTGGGCAGCAGCAACTCACAACAACTACTCCAATTATTTCGGTTGAGGAGAGATAACTACTTGATGCAATTGTAAGTACTGCTCCTCTACTTTCTTTAAGTCAAACAGTTTCTTGCACTGGTCGTGGGAATGTGAGCAGGAACAAATCACAAAAACAACAACAAAGTACGGCAAATATGGTTCATACACAAGCTGGAAATACATTGATGACTCAAGGTGTTTCTCAACACATGCCAAATCCAATTTTGGTAGGTAGAGATATATATGAAGAAGGAGAGGAAGATAATATCTTAAATCAATGCCGGGAAGAGGCATCAAGAAAAGGTGACCTATCACCTATGCATAGTGGAAAAATAAAAAAAGCACATACAAGGAAAAATAGTTGGGACGACAAGGTCAGTAATTTTTTAAATGTTAGGCGAGCTCCAATGAGAGTTGCCAAACAAAAGAAGGATGCCACAACTATCTCAACGAGGTCCAACCGTTCAAAAAAAATGATGATTTTTGAATACTTTTTGAACACGGTTGAGGAACACAACAAAGAACTGCAAATTGAAGATTTTACATGTTTGGAAAAGAAGGGACATGAACCAAATTGGTACTTCATTCTATTATACCACTTTATTAGTATTCTCATTTGTATATCATCACAGAGTATGTTATAAACTCTGTGATGATCATTGAATATTTGGTACTCTCCAGTTCTTATTTTTACATGCGTGCTAGTAGGTGAGGCATTTTCATTGCCTCAATAGGATTAGTAAGGTAAGGTTTAGCCCGGTTTGAGTTGCCTTGGTCCTATGCCTTTGGAAAAATATCCACACGGCTATGAGATTATATGCTCTCGTGAGACATTGTCGGCAGCTACACCATGAATCCTCTACATGAGGTTGTCATCTTAACGCAATGTGAGGCGCAGAGGAGTGATTATATAGCCAAGGCATACAGGTAACAATACCGGTGTTATTGTCCCCCTTATTTGTACTGTTCCTAATTGTTGTACTTTTATTTTCATTTATTAATAAAAAAAAACTAGCCCTAGGTGCTTGCCTAGCGGATTGCCAAAAAAAAAAATATGTCATCGAACTGATCTATTTATGCCACTTGTTAATAGTTAAATATAAATATGCCACAGGCATTACCATTTTGGGCCATATATGCCATTACTCACTTATTACTATCCGATTTTGCTATGGCATTATCTAAATCCTTCGTTGCGGTATTCATGGTTCGGTTTGGATCGGTTATTTCATAAAAATAACTAAAGCAGACCAATTAAGTCAATTTTTTATCGATTTGGTTTATGTTGGTTTTTTGGAGAGCTTTTTTTTAAAGATGAGACATACTACCAAAACATATTCCAGCGACTACATTTTTAATGTACCCATTTGCTCTTTGAGAAATCTATCATTTACCAAAAATATATTGATGGTAATTGAATCAAAATATGATAAATAATTTAAGAACTCAATTAAAAATAGATCATTTTTAATATGAAATAGATTCTCATACTTAGCAAAAGAATATACAACAAGGATATAACGTCAAAGAACTAGATTATTATAATAGCAACGAACTAGATTAAAAGTACAAAGAATTAACAGATATCGTTAAAATTAGAAACTTTGTATAATATATATATATA